ATACAGTAAAGTAAAGAGAAGAAGGAGAAGAAAAGCTTAATCAGAAAAATCTTGAGCAAAACCCTTGATTTTCCACTAACCCAAGCTTCTCCAATCCTTTTTTGGCTCTTTTCCCTCTTCCTAGACGTTTTGCAGCTGTTGGAGGTGAAGATGGTCGAAAATGAGGTGCCCAAGCCTTAAAAATTTGTTAAGAGTCAAAATTGTGTGTTTTACTAAAATCACTCTTTGCTGCAGCACACATGACCTATTCAAATTTTCTTTTCAGATTTAATTCCTTTGACTTGAGCTTCAAAATTCTCTTCTTTGGGCCCTTAAATTGGGCCTCCCTACATGTATAAAACCCAGAATAAATAATAGAATTGGTCCACTAACTTCTAACATAGTTCCGAACCCATTTTGACACAAATTCATTCACTTAATCATATTTTTGCTAACAAAAATTCAAATAAATGACTTTCAATTCCATTAAAAACATCACTAAATTTAATAAAATATTGAAAGTCATCACAAGGGTAATTAATCGCTGTCATGATAGCATTAATATGTAGTCATGACAGACAGCCCTCTTAAGCAAACTTTCGAGAGGCTCCGATTCACTGTCTGGCCTCTGATTGAAGTGATCTCAAAGTTCACATATTACTTTTAATGAGTAATAGTAGTTTTTAAAATTTTAAAAATATCCAACAATCAGATTAAAATTTGAATACATTACAAGTTTGGCATTTTTTTGCTGTCATGACAGCACCTTTGGACCAACTTTTGAAGTGCACCATTTTATCATCTGTCCTTTGATTGAAGAGATTCTAAAGCCCACACATCACATTCAAAGAGTAATACTAGTATACCAAATTTTGAAAATATCCAACATATGGATTGAAATTCATGCATATCGCAATTTTAGCAATTGTTGCTGTCATGATAGCACCTCAACACAAACTTCCAGAGTGCATTGTTTCTCCATTTGATATCCGATCAAGGTAAATCTAGAGCCCACATGAAAATTATAAAAGTTTTTACTTGTGACCCAAATTTTAAGAAAATCTAATAGTCGAATTGAAATTTAGACGCCCGAAGGCAAAAGTTCAGCTTCTTGATAAAAGCCATTTTCAAAATCATCTAAATCTTATCCTAAAAGTCACAAACCTGTGAAAACACTTTGAACATATCAAATAGGACTAGAAGTACCTGATAGAATATTAAAGTGATGAAAAAATTTCTTTTATCAAGATTTGACCACCTAGATGCCATTTTCTAAAATGGACCTTAAGCCCTTAAAATTCACAAATCACACAAGAGTAGTCAAAAACACCATATACTCGTATAAATACACAAGCTAAATATTTTCACTTGGCTCAGAGACCCCCATGGGGCCTACAGACCTACTCTCTTTATCTAAGGTATATGTTTGCCCATAGCACACCATTTGCAATGCAATCACTTTGCATTTGCTTGTAAAATCACATATATTTACATGTATACCAAAATAAACATTTGCTTATAGTAGAAACTTAGTCTACTAAATGAATCCATCAAAACTATATACCATAACCAAGTTTTCTTGTCACAAGTATACAAGCAAACAAAAATTCATATAAAGGCATACATTCCAAATACACACACACATAAACATATCCTACTGTCATCCAAATCCTAAATATATTACAATAGATTTGCTCAAAAGAAAGGGGTTGTAGTTTTTCACAATCTATAAACAACCCTTAGTTCTGCTCCTTTCCTTGTCTATTACTGGATCCATTGCTTGGACCTATAAATATTGTAAAGAAAGAGAGAGACAACCATAGTCTCAGTAACAGAGAAATTTACATTTATTATTATAAAGTAAATAGTTGAATAAATGAATAATAGATTAAACATAATATCTAATTTAGTCATTTAAAATGTATGAATGCATGACACAAGTCGGTATGACCTTTTCTGACCGATAGAATGTCCCCTAGCACTCTTTAGTGCACAAGTAAACCTTATACCCACTTGTACCCCTACAGGTACAAAATATAATCTAAGGCATGATTGAATCTACCTAACCGCTTATGCTCCTTAGATGTGAATCCTGAGCAATTGAAACTAACTCCCTCCTAGATTAGCCTAACTTACTCTCTATGTGAAGGCTACCTTGGTCTAGGCATTCAACCTCACACTTCATATGTCGAATTCCCTCCCTCATTGAGAGGTTTTGAATACTCAATCCACTAACCATATTAGTATACTGAGCCCATAATATGAAAGACAACACTGAGTACTGATAGTTGCCATAGTATATCATAAGTTCACACCTCCCCATTGGAAAACTTCCACTAAGATCATGCCTTTCACTCTTATCTACCTTTTTCAAGTATTGACCACTTCAACACTTAGGTAATATAACATATATCACTCTTCTCTTAAGCGATTCCTCAGCCTATCTAAGGTACTTAACATAGTTACACTTCCTTAAGTACAACTTTCATTCTCTATAATTACAATACATGTAGACATCCTCGTTTCCACAAAAACATTATTGTTAAATAAACAGAAAACATATATGTACTATTATCTAAGTAGTACCCCGTAAGTCCTTATAAAATATAATTAATTGTATTTAATTATTTAAAATATGTAATGCATTATAACTAGTAATATTAATTCAAAATAGCTAAATAAAGCAATAAGAAATATAAATTCTACTATTACCTCAACTTTTTTGTACTAAGAAGGTTTCTCCTTGTACAAAAAATAAGACTTCGTTTGTTCTTTAATTTCTTAATAAGTTCCACTAACAATCCCTACAATATATAAGTGATCAACATCACTTATTATGGTAAATAGCATAAAATAAGATTATAACTCATACCATACAACTTGGGTCAATGAGCCATGATCCATTCTAATAATCAAAATATTAAATGAACCATTCTCATAATACCACTTAACTATCAAAACCATGTATTAGCCATCATTAGGCCAATTTTCAAACCATACAAGTTTTTATCAACCAAAAACCTTCATATGGCATTACTAACTTTCACTATTAACCCTTATAATGAAAATAAAAGCTTAATTTAAATCTTACTACATTCAAATAGTACAATTATAACTAAATCAATAGTCTTAAACCATTAAAGAGCAAAACTCAGTCTCTTAAGGTTTAATTTTTGCCTTAAAACTCCCTTTTTCATCCAATTGCCTACTCAAAATATTAAAGAACCATATAGAAACTTAAAATAACCTTCTTAAGACCCAAAAAAACCAAAGCTTACTAGAATAAAGCCTTTGAGATCAAAATTTAAAATTTATCTCTTTCAAAAACTCAAGAAAACTAAGAGGGAAGGAAGAGGATTGAAGTAGGAAGTTTACTTATTGTGTAATTGAACTCACAATAGTCACAGCCTCCCAGATCCCCTCTCTTCTTCCTCTTTTCTTTGCCTCTTCTCTCTTGGTCTTTTGGTCTCTCGGTTTCTTGTTTCATTTCTTTCCTTTCTTTGTTTTTTTTTCTTGTTTCTACGTTTTGCTTCCTCTTAAAAAAATTGAGCATAATTCTTTGGGACAAATTACAAAAAAGGCCCAACATTTTTTTATTATAACACAATAGCTCAGGTCAACTTTGATAATTTTTCACATAGTTAAAAATAAAATAAAACCAAACTTTTGCTTGATAAAATTCAAATTATGGACCTTTATCAAATTATTTTTAATTTTAATTTTATTATACATATTTTATTTTAAATTAAATTAGGGTCTTAAAATTTTTAGAATGTTACATAACACCTCCAATAACTACCTTACTAGTTAGGTATATCATGACTTGTCAAGAGCTAATGGGACTGCTATTAGCATCCAGTGTTCTTAAATCAGTCCTCCTCAGTAAAATCAAGCATGTATGAAGCAAGAAAGCCATTTCAAAATTTTTTCTTTCAAACACCATTCAACCATCATTTTTCATTGTCTAAATTTATCATCATTTTCCTCATACATGAATCATTGCATTAAAAATTTTATATCAACATAAAATTTAGTAATTAAAATGCTTTAAAAGAATATATCATTTATCATATATACATTTCAAGCATTACTTATCAATAATATAAATCATCAGTAAAATCAAGATATTTTCATTAATAAGACAATTATTAGAAAACAAAGGATTAACAATAATATTTGTACAATTTATAAAGGAATAATAGTAAAATTTAAATAAAGAATTTTATAAACACTGTACTAGAAATTTATTCAGAATGTTACCTACTCGCCTAATAGTTTCTCAAAATTCTAAAGTATACTTCTCTTAATCTTTCACTTTAATTCTAATAGTGCTCTTAATTTTTTGATAAATGAATCATAATTTTAAAATTATTTATCAAGCAATTTTTTCAATCACTTACTTGACATTTGAATCCAATCCAAATAATATTAAAGATAATGCTCTAACCAATTATGTTTTAAATATACTTGAGTTAGTTAAACCATTTAACAACCTCAATTTATGCTTATATTTCCTAATGGCCCATTCTCAAACTTGAATTATAATAAACCTAATCAACCATCATTATGTTTTCTTTAGACTTAATAAAATATGACACAAGCATCCTATATCATCCTTTCTCTGATCATCTTGGTATTTTAAAGTTTCAATTAATAACTTAAGCTAAAACTTATATATACTCCTTCAAACTATAACACGGAAACTTAACTATACTTAATTTATCAATTTTTTTTTCGCACATTTTTACACATATCTTGAAGGCATGCATTTATCAATGATAAAATTACGAGATGAGCAACCAAGAAATTCCAACTTCGAAACTTCTATTTTTATTAATTACATTTCAGCTCAACATAATCAAACAATTTCCAACACCAACCAAAAGCAATATTTCAATCCTAACTAAAAATAGCATATCAATAATAAGAAACACGACCACATCAACTGACTGGAGAAGGAAAAGAATGCTTCAGTGTTGCTGTTGCATTCGAAGAGAGGAAAGAGAGTATTAATGATTTACCTCAACCTTAAGTGCAGTGGTGACGGCTTAGAACCAGCGTGTGGTCGACGCTGATGAAGAGCAAAAAAAAAAAACAAGAAAAAAAGATAAAAAAAAAAAGCTCTGTTCTACAGCTCGGACGAGAAAGGGGAAGACCAGAATAGCGGCCAGTAAAGCAAAGGAATTGAGCTTAACATACACATAAGAAAGACGTTCAGCAGTTGAGAAGCAAGAATAAGTGAAGCTAAATATACGCACGGACGCCAAACCTGAACAGAAAAGTGAGAGATGACAGCAAAGAAGGAACAGATTCTGGTGACTCCCACTTCCAGCTATAGAGATGCACCAGTACAGCAAGGTGTAGGCCAATGGTGAAAGGAAGAACAAGTCGAAGATGAGAAGAAAGAGCCCGACGGTGATGAGAGAAGAGAGCTCAAAGTCGGTGAAGAAACTAAGTGAGAAGGCTCTGCTTTTCTTTCACGCGAAGAAATATAATCTGATCAAGGAGGTTTGGAAAAAATTGCTAGAAAAAGCACCAAAAAAAAATTATAAAAAAGACCCAAGAAAAATTACAAAAAAAGTCACAAATTCTCTTATAATTTAAAATAAAATAAAATTAAACTTATTAAAAAATTTATTTAAATAAAATAATTTTTGAAAGAAAAAAATTTATTCAGTTAAATTTTGTGGGTCATAACACTTTGTCTTCCACATCAAAACAAGGTAAAGCAATTTGTTCAATTTCACATTTAATAAAGTCAGGTACAACAACACCACCTAAATCCCGCCTACTATCAATAATCACACTACCTACCGTTCTATTTTCCATAGGAGTAGGGGCTAGTTGGCTTAGCTTGGCATTTAATTCTGTGTTAAATTTGGGATTCAAGCATCTCACCAATAGTCAATTCTGGCCCTATTTGCAGCCTGCCATTGAATGTTAGCATCAAATACTTGTCTACCAGCCAAAAGCTACTCCTAGCCCAAGAGGCATGAGCGCCTTTCTTTGCGGTCATAAATGAACCTTCGGGGAGGTAGATTCCCTTAATTAAACGAAACAATAAAGCATTTGGTTCAGTTAAAATTCTCCAACAATGTTTGCCAAGGAGAGCTAAGTTGAATTGATGAAAGTTCCTGATTCCCATCCCTCTCCATCTTCCCTTTTGTCATAACCTCCCAAGATTTCTGGTGAATTTTCTTACCTTTTCCTGTTACAACCCACAAAATATCAGAAATAATACTATCTAACTCTTAGCAAGTCTTCTTTGAGTATTGAAAACAAGCCATTGAATAAATGGATATAGCATTAGCCACAACTTTAATTGAGGTTTCTTTGCTAGCTTGTGAAAGGAATTGTTCATTCCACCCTCCAATCATTTTCCGTACCCTATCTCTCACAAAGGCTAAAGATTTAACCTTGACTTGCCCCACAAGATAGGAAGGCCAAGATAGTTTACTAATTGTTCTTTCTTGCCCCTTACATAAAGTTTTATTTTGACCGAAGTCCCTCACATTTAGTTTACTGATTGTAAATGTTATAAAATAAAACTACTTTTTTTGGCCAATTTTTTGATAAAATATTTGAACAAAAATTGAAAGAGGGAAAAAAAAATTGATTAGGTCCACACATGAGATTTTATCATTCAATGGGTTTGAAATTAAGCTTCAATTTAATTGTAGTTGAGGAAATTGGTACCTTATTTTACAGGAAAATCATGTGAATTCATCAATAAATTTATAACTCAATCAAGTTTTAGAGTCCATAAGTTGCGCATTTAATGATTATTAGTTGCTTCATTGATTAGTAGGTACGAGATATATATATATATATATAGAGAGAGAGAGAGAGAGTACCTTTTCTTGTCAACAATATGAAAATGGTTACATTTAACGGTAATAATGCAACAAATTATATACCATAAAAATATTAAAGGATCCAAAAATTATAAATAATGACCAATAAATTTTTTCAGTCCTTTTTTGTAACTTTTGAGATCCTTTTTCTATCATTTTCTAATCAACTAATGGTTAAAATTATTTTTTTATTAATGGTAGGAATTAGATTCCACTGTTGTTAAAAGTTGAAGGGGAATATTACATAAAAGATGAATTTATATTCTTAAATGCTTTTGAATATATAGTTTAGGAGCCAATTTTCTCATTTACCCAAATTATTAATATTCAAAAAATTAAAATATTTCATTGTTATTTTTGTCAAAAAAACTATTAAAAAAGTTTCTTTAAATTGTAGAAGTTTAAATGATTACTGCAAAATTTAATTTGTTATACTTGTACTCTATTCTGAATATTAAACAGTACTTTAAATTATCCAAAAATTAAAACCGTGAATATCAACGTTTTATTATTATTTTTTCGTCCTAAAATGTTTTAAATTCCAAGGCCCACTTGCTATTATTATCAACAACGTAACTTTTAGTTGAGGACTTGTATCATTAGAATTATATATATATATATATATATATGGATGTATATAGAAACTTTGTGATTACCGTCGCCAAGGACGTATTTGTGTTTCCATTTTGGATCAGTTTCTTTTTCTCTCACAGTTATTACCATGAACCTCTCCTTCCACAACCTTCCCAGGACTACTCGTCTCTCCCCATGTTTCAGAACCAAACACGTTTCTTCACCTTCACGTCTTAATGCACATAAATTCTCAAACCTCGATGCAGAGCTTGACTCAAAAATGGTGGAGGGTTTGGTTCAATGTGATGCCAATTTTGCACCATTGACTCCTATAACTTTCTTGGAAAGAGCAGCCAATTTCTCTGCTGATGCAACCTCTATCATCTATAGTGATTCCAAAAAGTATAATTGGGCTCAAACTCATCAACGTTGTTTAAAACTTGCTTCTGCTCTTGCTGACTTGGGGATTTCTCGCGGAGATGTGGTGAGTCTTATTATCTATAGATCCACAGTTATATATACATATGTGCGTGTTTGTATGCTTTCTTTGTTTTTTTTTAATCAATATGGTTTATTTATGAGACGATTCAAATTCTGGTTTAGTTAGGAATCCGTAGAAATTAACTTTTTCTTGCTGCTGGATTTTTTTTCGTGAGAGACACCTAATGGAGTGATATGTGGGAAACCAGAGAAAATTAAATCAGGAAATATTACAAATAATGCATTAATTTCTCAAGGAAATACTACGAGAATACACATGGAAATTTTTGGGCGTTTTAAAATAGTATCTTGATTTTTTGTCTTTTTGATTGGGGTGTCCGCAGCTGGTCAACGTTCCTTTAACTTCACCCTTTTGCTACGGTCAAAGGTTAAGGCCAAAAGAATCAAATGGCTAAATGTACAAAACTCTCAAAAGCTTTAAAACAATTGCATGCACAGAATGGAAAGCTTAACATTTAACCTTCCTAACCTTTTATTATTATTATTATTATTATTATTATTATTATTGCCATGGACTCTCTCGCTATTACTCATATCCTATTTATAAAATACCTTTTAGAAATAATTTTTGGTCCAAAATAAAGGACACCTTATAATAATTACATCACTTTTTTAAATTTTATCCCTTATTGATTAGTGTGAAGATATTTAATATAATTATATTATTATTTAAAGTCAGGAGGTAAAACTGAAAGTACATCTCATTTTTTATGGTATTAAGAAAAAACTAACTTTTCTTAAGATGCATAAAATAGTTGAAAGTGTCCTAAAATAAGAATAGGAGGAAATATTTCTTAGAAGTTGTCATGCTAATAGAAGTTGTCATGTCCAATTAAGGAAAAAAATCTATTATTAGGAACAATAATAGATAAATGCGAATAAACTTTTTATAAAAGCTATTATTAGGTTACATCAAATACCACATTAGTTTCTAGGTATATTTTGTTAATATAACATGACAACTTCTGTTAGTAAAATAACTAAAAATTAATAGCATAAGAGTCTATAGTAAAAAATTTAAAAAATTAAAAGTTAGAAAAGTTAATTTTAAACTTTTAAATATGAATGAGATTTTGTGCAGCTGTCCAAAGTTTAAGAGAATTTCATATATTTTAACCTTAGTTAGTACCTCTGAAAGAATATCGATGTTAATGATCAGCCAAATCAAACGAAATCAATTATTAGCTAGTAAAAATGGAATATATTAAAGATAGGTGCACAATTATAAAATATATCTTTTTCACACACATAATAAATTTGATAAAAATTGTCAACAAAAAACATAAATATATTAAAATAATAATAATTTTAAGAGTTTAGAAGCATAAACAATATTATAAATGAATTATAGAAATATGATTTCACTATCTTCTAGATATATTATTATTTATTCGACATTAAGTTAGGGGTGGAGATGTGGGACCAATAGGGGCCACATCCTTCCTAACTTTTTAATTTTTTTTATTAAAATTTAGGGGTTATATATTTTCAGCCTTAAGTTGGCATATTTTAGAAATCTTGAGACACAAGATGAAATTCTCGTTGCAATTATATAGTAGTCTTTTACACATATGTAGTCCAACTGTTTCAAATCTCTTGAAGATATAGGTATCATGGGATCTATTTATTTTTAACAAGATAATGTTACAGTTGCTCTTAAAACATTAATGTCATTTGATTTGGCTTTTATTTTATATTTGATGAAAGGAATTATAAAAATTATTACTAATAAATTTTGCCAATGACTGCAATAAAAATTTCAAGATATATTGAATTCTATATGCTTGATATCTATTATAAAATTACTTATCCAAACATTAAGCAGTTATGATTAATATATATTTTTCTAGAAAAAAATATTATAACCAAATTATTGAAATTTATTATATAAATGGTTTTTACTATGATATACTTAGATTTCATTGATACAAAGAATGTGTGACAATTGAGCAATGTTACCATATTGATATATTTATTTACTATAATTATCAATTGAAAGAATTAAATAGTAAATTTAATAAGTAAGTAATAGAGTTTTTTAGATTAAATATAACATTAGATCTTAAGAACACATTTAAATTATTCAATGTTAATATGAAGATAAAATCTTCGCACATTTAAAGACAGATTATATTGAAAAGAAAATTTTCAAAAAATTTATTGTATCATGATAATTAAATATTGTTATGCCATGAAAAATTAATGAGCAAAACTTAAAAAATTAATATATATATATATATATATATTTGTTATATATATAATTGAATATAAATATATATGTTGAAATATTCGTAATTTGATAGTGATATATATAGATTTAATTTTTTTTTATTCTCATATATATTTTGTCATCTCAACCTCCTAATAAATTTTTTTGACTCCAGTGCCCCTGCATTAAGTTAAAATTTTAGAGGCATAATATTAATTATGTAAAAATTTATATAAAAATATTAATTAGGTAAATATAGTTTTGATTTTATTTGATAGTAAAACGACCATATGTATATGTATAGAGAGATATTGACTATGCATTGTGCATCA